CTAAAAACGTATCCTATAGCAAAAATAAGGAGGGTTTTATTGATGGTGGGCCAAAACATTCTAATGACTTTAATATTCTGGCAGGTGGTCTTCTCCAACATCATTCATCTGGAATCAAAACTAATGTAAGAATGATGTGGACAAAGGGACCATCATGTTTTATTGAATTGTCATAGCTATAAAATCCCTTTTAAAAAATATAACACCAAAAAATAAGGTGACGTTGATTGTATGGCCCGAACCTTCCATGGGTCTTTGGGAGGTCTGCCTCTTCTAATACACACCCACATGTCACACACGACCTACCAACCTAAGTGGCTGTGCGTCATGGCACCGATATACGACCGACCGGGCACGACCTACCCGGCCACACGTTCGGACGTGCGGACGACGCGGACTGGCGGACCACCCGGGTGGTCCAAGCAACAAACGCGGCGTTTGAAGCTTGGGCGGTGGGTCTTGACTCTTGATGTAGACTCTTGATTAGTAAACCCCCCATTTGAATCCACAAATCCTCTTCATAGGGGGGTGATCAATCAATAGTCTGCATTATTCTGTCTTTATATGGTGAAAAATGTTGCACCGCCAGTCTTTTCTTCCACCAACTCTGAATTGCAATGTCCAGTCTGAAGCTTGAACCCAAATGGGTTGCTTCTCTTTTGCCACTCAGATGGCCCGAAAATGCACCGATCAATTCTCTTAGATTTGTCTTCCTTGGCCCCGCTTCACACAGTCCAACCAATCGCTGTGCTCCAAAGGATGTGTCTAGTTCCCCGAATCAAGAGAACTACAGCTTACAGCCACCTTCCCTCCCGTCCTTCATTGATCTTTGGAACCCCATTGTGGTCGCATGTGCACCAGCCCCATCAACAACACCCTGGAAGTGGAACACTTTGGCCCCTCATGCATGCACTTTCCTCTACACGTGGGGAGAACCCGCACGCTCCGCTTCGAGAACCGTCCGAGGGAGAACCCGCCCTGCGATCGGCCCAGCGGCTGCCAAGCGCGTGAAGCGGTCCTGCAATACAAACGAGTCACTCAGGCAGTGAGTCCCCTCAGGGGCGACGAAGCTTTCCAGCTGGCCACTTCTATAGAGGGCAACTAGTTTGATTGTATTTGGACACATTATACTGCAAGCATCTGCAACCTAAACTTGCTTTACTACTACACTTGCATTTTTGCCTTGCTGGGAGAGCAAGCGTGGTCCTACTTTCCGATAGTTCATGTCAGAATAGTCACCACCTCCAACACCTCCAACACCAGCATTTCGTTGGAAGGTCGTGTCGGATTGCGTTGCAGCAATTGGACTGGCTGCAGCAGCATGGATCGGATAGTTCACGCCTTTGCCAGCGGATTTCCTTCTTCGCATTGGAGCTGGATGGTGAGCGAAGTTGAACGAGTAGAGTGAGCGCAGTGAGTAGAGTGGCCCTTTTGACATGGGAATCCAACTGTTTTTTCACACAAGTGAAGGGACATCTCTGAAGAACACATCAAGAAGAACCTCTTGGGTCCGGTCAGGACCTCTGAACATGTCTGAACCAACCACCAAAAAACAGAGACAAACAAGCCTTACGCGGATTTGTCTCATCAAGACTGACCCCACCTTCGATTCTGCCCACCGTTTTGCTCGGACCATGGCAACACTTCTCCGCGACGGAAAACGCCGAATGTCTCTGGTCCTTCTTCTCGACGAAGCTTTCCTGCAGGAGCGAGAAAACACCGAAGAAGAAGGAATCCACGGAACGTGGTCACGTGGTACGTGAGAATCCATGTAGCTCTTTACAAATTCGCTGCGTTCGCAGAGTCCTTGTCACTTGCATGTGTCCAGTTCTTACGTTTGAAGTTTCAATATATTTCAATCAAAGGTGCACACGTACGACGGCACGCGTGGCAATGCTGACCCTAATATTCTCCTTGCGGCATCTTGCAGCTCTACTTGATTTCCAGATACTATACGTACCCAGTACTGTCCAGCACCCTTCCGCCTCTTCCTTCCACACACCCCACCCTCCCTCTTCGGTTTCACCCCGATCGCATTCCGCTCGCTCCGTTTCGGCTCCACTCGCGTCCGAGCGTCACGCAGAGCCATCTCCAGCACTCGGAACTCGAAGGGCGGTCCCGGCGACGAAGGAGAGGCCAACTCCGTCTCCAGGCACCTGCGGTCTCGTCGGGTTCCGAGTCAGGTCCGGTGGGACGGCCCGGCGGTCCCGTGGTGCCGGGGAAGTCAGGACGCGTCGAATTAAGGCTTTATGCCCCAGATGCAGAGGTTTTACCCATTCAAATGGATGTATTCATGGTTCATCAAGAGACGACAATGTCTACATGATGTTCTTTTGTGTTCGTTGCTTCCAATTGAGACCGCCCACTCTCCGTCGCACACTGGGCTGACATGTTGCACCATTTTTCATCGAAAGACAGAAGACGCAAAGGATGCGTTCATGCAAACGGACGTCCACAAAGCTCCTACTCGACAAACACTCGCACGGAAACTAAGCTTGACAGACGGTCGATCAAGCATCACAAACAAAAGGCGACCATGTTGCCACCAGCGACGCTGGTGTTTCTTCCATGCGCGAAGAAGTGGTGAATCCACCGACCCCACCGGGGCGGTGTGTTCGAGGTGGCCGGGGCCCACGCTCTTTCCCCGGGACAGGTGGCTCCTCCGTGATCTCTCTCTCCTGTCTCCACCGGTCTTCCGGGCCGCCCGCGCCTGCTGAAGAGCTCCGCAGCCCGGCCGTTGCCCTCGTTGAGGATCATCACCGAGTCGCTCCACACACATCCTGAGCAGAAAGCGGTCCCACCCGAGTCGGCCGGTCCGGCAGCTGCGAAGGGTGGGTCCGGGGGGCTCTGAGTGGCCATGAAGGAGCAAACAGTAGGGGGGTTGTCACGAGACCACACCACACACACGACAGAACCAGGCCTAGACGGAGGCGCCTAACCGGAGGTATACTGAAATCTGCCCACAGCATGCAGCTGTGCAGAAAAGAAAGACTGCCAAGCAGGCCAGTATGTTCGATTCACCACGTGCACTTGCGCAACGGTGCACTTGGGCAACGGCCGGTGAAGGGAGGAAGTCGAAACATGAAGTAGTCCTGACATCCCAGGTTCCATGCAGGGTGGGGTTGAACCTGAACGAAAAGGAATCAGTATACAGATTCTTGCTGGCCTCCTCTGGCCGAAAATGCAACTGTCTTCGGGTCCAGCATCTGCAACGTTGCAACTGGATGTGAGATCTTTTTTTGCGGTTGCGCTTGATCGCAGAGTTGGAGTTGGTCCTCGGCAACCGCCCCTTATTCACCTCGATGCACCCCGCCCCCGAGCCCCCGAGAGGCTCCTGTCGGATGGACAAGTGGGCCCCTTTCGTCCCAAAGAGCCTCACATCTCGAGCCGTCAAACCTCGGTTTGGGAAGCGAAGGCGACAGGTGGGAAACCGGGCATAACGGTGGCGTTTGGACCTTGACAGCTTTAAGAATCCATCGAACTCCTAGTATAACAGTCTTCAGTGTTGGCGCGCCCAGGACGAATTGCTGCTTGCGAGCGCGAAAGTTGATTACTTGGGGCAAATGCATGGTACATCGTGCAAGATGGGTCTACAAACCACACCTAAATTAAGTTAAAATAATGTGTTGTGTGTTTCTGCCAAAACCAAGAACCTTGGTGCAAGTTGGTAAGTGTCTGAAGTGTTTAAACGATTGGTGAGTAGGGATTCAGCTTGCAAACTTCGGCATGGAGTTGGTATATTGCCACTTTAGTAAAATGCCTGTTCATATTAATATAAAGGACATTGCGAGTTCAAACCAACTGATACCAAAGTCAGTAGCTTTCGGTTAGCGCCTATGGGCATGCTAGTGGCTACTAAACAGTGCCTGCACAAGCAAATTGTCTTATTGAAGTAGGAACCGCCACAAATACGATTTCTGGGGGTTCGTCAAACTGCAAGGTTTCGGCCGGAACTTCACCTTCTCCGATCCCTGTCAGCTTCGGCCCAGAAGCCAAAGAGCAACATCAGTTCTTTGGATGTGCCTGGCGTGAGGAGGGCAGTTCCTTCCGCGAAAAAAACAAAGACAGAACCAACAAAGATGGGTACACCATCTGTTTCCCACCCACGGAACCGCAAGTGTAAGAAGCACTCACCTCTGCTCACCCACCTTTCAAAGAGACGGCCACACGCGGTGGTTTCCCCTGCCCACACGGCGCCCCGCAGGGCGGGTGTGGTTTTCGTTTCTCGCCACGTCACCGGCCTTGCTTCTCTTCGATCTTTCCATCTGCCCAGAAGAGCGTCAACCGGTGCATCCGGCTCGTGGCGATGCCCCGCGGCCCGATGAAAGGCGTGCGGGTCGCCCAAGGCCGGGCCCGGAAGCGCGACCAAGAGGCCCGGGGTCGCCATGGCATCAGGCGGCCGTTTGGGCGGGCGGAAAGGCGCGAAGTCGCTTCCCGGTGTGGGTTGTTCTTCCACTCTCATCGAGCAAGATGAAGCATGTGAAAAATGTTCTTTGAGTTTAGCACGAAGCAGCCCCGTGTTGCATAGATGGCCCAAATGGCTTGATTGCTTGGCAAGCACCGAGCAAAGGTGTCCATTCCATAGGTTCCCCAAATGTCTCGAGTCTCAACAATAGAGTTTAATGTCTGTATGCAACGCGATGCAACCAAACCTGTCGATCCTGTCTTGCTGATTCTTGGACCTGTCAGTCTAGGACATTCAGACGGTTCTGAAAGTGGGCGACGAAGTGCGCTTCACGCAACTTCACGGAACTTCCGCGTGTTGGTCAGCAAACTGTTGGCCTAGTTGGGTCTACGACGTCGAGTGATCTGAGTCGGTTCATGTCGGTTCGGTTCTCGTACCAATCGACTCATTTCTCAGTCTTATGTGTCAAAAAACCTTTCATGACAAGCTGCTCTAGACTCTAGACTCTATATATTACGAGTACTTGTCTGAATCTGTCCAAGTAATCTCCCTCCATGTCATCTCACCCCGCTGTTCTCTCCGTCAAGCCCCGCTCCTGCTTCACCCAATCCCAAAGGTGCAGCCGGTTGATGCGCACAAACCTTGACTCTTGACAGGACTGGGGGGCCCTCCCTCTTATGAATGGCAAGGAAAACGACACGACAGTGACACTGTACAATGCGACACGCTTGGCGTGGAGTATGAGTTATAAACTTCCTGTGCAAGGAAAACGATCCTCCCAAGTGACACCCAGTCAGCAAACACCTTTCGGTTGCTTCTGCATCAAGCGGGGAAGAAGAATATGCCCACATCTTGACAATCTGCCCCTTCCTCACATCTAAAATGGAACTCTGCAGGTAGCACCGGATCCGGGGAACAGCTACATGTGTGAAACGCGCTTCAAAACGAACGCAACCAAATTCCTTGTGCCATGTTTTTTTGGCTGAAATCAACCTGCGATCACCTGTGTGGATGATAGATCGCAAGCCTAAAAATTAATCATAAGGGATCACAAACCCGGAAAAAAGGAGCCCCAAAAAAGGGAATGAACCAACTGCATTTTGGCCGCCCACTGCACCACGGCCCCGCGCCCAGGTGATCCAAACCACCGCATCCGCATCCGCGCCGCGCCGCGCCGCTCCGGGGCTTCCCGGGCTCGCAGCGCTTCTCGAGCACCGTGACGGCTCTGGCGACGTGGAATTCACGGGGACGTTTGTTGCGCGGCGGCGTGGCCGGCGGGGCGGGGAGGGAGGGGAGAACAACGGATTCAACGAAGAAAGTGGTTGTTATGTTTGGGTTGGGATTTGGATGGGTCTTTTTGTTGGACTTGCCCCCAACAATGGGCTGGGGACACAATTGACAAGTGACCTTGGAATGTTTCAGTGTCCGAGTATCCCTTTTGGGAGAGTTGAGTGAGACAAATGAAGGAAAGAAGGAACTGAAAGGTTGCTTCAGTGACAGGGTATGGAAAAGGTTGTTTCGAAGCAAAGCACAGCTTGGTAATGAACAGGGTTGCTTTGTGTCGTTGCACCCACCCACGGTCCCCCCCAACTTCCAGGCGGCTGCCCAAAGCATCCACAACAAAGAAAACGCCTACCCATCATTGGATTGGTTTAAGGAAAAATGCTAAAGGAAACCATGGCTTTCACGCCCAAAACGATGGGTTTCTTCCTGTTGATGTTCCCTTAAACCAATCCTGGGATACCGCCCAACCCCAGCACTTGTCGCCCAGCTGGTCTGCTTGTTCCAAGTCACGCGCCGGCCAGCTTCAGCTGCAACGCAATGCGAAGCCCGACCTGGGCTCCGCCAGGGAGTGTGGCGAGTTCAACTCGAAAACGTCACTGGAAACACAGAAACGGGAATCTATACTGGAGTCGGTAGAACTAGGGAGCATGAGGGTTCGAGCAAAACGGAGCTTCCTCAAAACGACGTGGGGATTGACACATGGCCGTTTTCGCTGTGGTGTCCAACTCCCCAATGACTCAATCCTCACTTTGACTGGTGGTTGAGTGTCCACTCCAGCCCAAAGCCACTGGGAACCCAAGCTGGCCCAGCACCCACCTCAGCACCCAAGGAGGCACGGCTTGTCAGGCATGTCAATCAAGCAGTCTGGTGGGATGCCCTTGCACTCTGAAAACACACGAAACCACACTGGCCGCTAGGCAGTCGTGGATGCAGCAGCTAGGAACTCCACCACAGCAAGAGACTTTCCTGGCTAGAAGAGTCATTGGCATGGGTCACGAGTCACAAGGCCTCATGATAGCAGACTCCATATTCGTGCACGAGACCCCGATTGGATCAAGAGTAGGGATTTCTTCTCCTTTGCACAACCAAGCTGAGCAGTTGGTGGTCAGAAGAGGTCAAAAGCTGACCTTGCAACATGCCGCCAGGATCAATCAGCTCGCGGAAGGCTGAAGTCTTGGAGCCAGCAACAAGCTCCCAGCTTTAAAACTTTAGTTGAGCAACTCCAGGAGACTTGTCTTGCAGGGAGAACCCTTATCCCCCCTCCGGTCCTTGAAGCGGCTTGGCCTCGGACAGCGCGGGCGGGCCACTCATTCATTCACAGGTGGTGCGGGCTGACCAATCATCGTGCCACCGGGTGGCCTGGACCTCCACCGGCTGGGCCACCGGGCTTGATGGTCCTCCTTCTTCACTTGAGCATCAAGCAACTGCCACACCTGCGATGCCCGGATGCCGAAGTCGATGTTTTGGATGCGAAGGAACTCGACCTTGCCATCTGACTCAGAACTCTCCGTGGTGCGGCAACTTCTACCAAGAGGTGGTCAGTGGGCAATCTACATGTTGAGGAGGTCGTTTAGAAAAAAGGGTGGTCCAGAGGCCGCAGCGCAGGGTGTCATCTCGCGTCATCACCAGATCCGGGCCAAGAGCTTTCAATTATGTCCAAGTCTTTTTCAAGTGGAATTATTTTAAAGGGCTTCCATCGCTCTTCTTCAAGTCACGTCTGACCATCACCAACACTCCCAATCCAAAGGACTCCAAAAAGGAACACCAAATTCGCATCCCACAGCCTGCTGGGCTTTCCAGGGAAGGCCAGGCCTTTGGCCGTTTCGTTTTTCTGCTTCGTTCGGCTGTGCATTGGAACACGGAGACCCACCAAACAATGTTAATTTTGGGTGTAGGTCGTTTCTCGCACAAGGATACATGCAATGGCTTCCCTCAGCAAAGGGTTTTTTGGTGGACATAATTAGACAAAGCCTCAGCCACGCTGCAAGTACACTGTACAATGCAAAAACCAAGAACAAAGTTCTACCAACAACACTTGAAAAAATCAAGAATTGTATGGAATTGTATTTTGGCACAACAGGACGCCATGCCACTTTCAAAATATCTGTAGGGCGTCGACTCTGGTGAAAGTATAGCCAAAGCCTATTTGCAACGCTCCGGGAGTCGTCTCGAGGCGACGTAGTGCTCCCCAATCATCGGTGTGAGTCTCAGGCTATGTTTGCTCTTCGCAAAGGTCTTTGAGGAGTCTCCCTAGCAGACATTGGACTTTTCTTTTGAGAAGACACCGAAGCCCGAAGCGCAGAAGATCGACCACAAACCCTCCCAACAGGAGCTCGGACAAGCTCCTGATCTTTTGGTATGGCAGGACCTGCGCCGATGGTCCCAAGTGTGTTTTTTGTCTCAAATCATGGTGTGCCAAGTACCGTTGCAAAAATATATATATATAAAAAACCATCACTGTGTGGCTATGCTCCTCGGGGCTCTTGTGCGGTTCTGTGGGTCAGGCAGCGGCCAGTCACGGCACGGGCAGGGCCATGGCCGTGCTTCCCTTGTTGTCTTTTGATGGCACAGGTTGACAGGTGGTCATGTTTGGAAAAATAACCTTCCGCATGTCTTCCCAACAAACGGCAGGCGTCTTGAGGCGAGGACATGCGAGGACTACTATTAGCAACTGCAATGGAAGCTTCCCGCACACGAAAGGCAACACCCCTGCTTCCAACCTCCTTGCCATGAACCTTGCCGCTTTCTTCCTGGCAACTCGTTCGCCCACTCTCGATGGGGCGTCGCGGCGTGGCTCCGAAAAGTGCCCAGAAATGTGTTGCCCCAAAAGCCTGGCTGGCTGGTTGAAGAAACATGTGAACTCTACACGACCATGTGAACTCTACACGACAAGATGATCTTCGAATACCATCTCTCTTTTGCATGGGTTTCGTACCAACGGCCGACAAAGTGGCTCCTACCGCAACTAGCAAAGGCCCCGGAGCATCAAGCCGCCATGACATCTACAAACTGTTCAAGAAGGTATCAACGTTCGGTGGCAGAAACCATTGCAAAAAAGCTGCATCACTCCCCAAGACATCCCACGACCATGCTGGCAACGGCGTTGCAACAGCTCGTCAGGCGTTGCAACTGCCTCACTCCCCGCCGCGGTTCGGTGGCTCCTCGTGGAGCTCCACGCACTTCAACAAGTAGCGGAAGCCTCTGTGTCGCTCCGGAGAGACAAGGAGCACGTCTGGGTGGAGGAGCTCAAAGGGTTTCGGGTATGTGATCCAGCCCTATTAGGGTGGCCATCTGGTGCTTCAGCTTCCGGAGCCGGTCTCTCGACGTCGATGCGCCGGCACGGTCTCGACGTCGATGGCCTTCCGCGATGGCCGACACCGACCGCGCGTCCAAGAAGTGCTTCAATGCCGTGGGCGCCTGGTGCTGATCCGCAGGAGCCAACACACGGCAGGACGCAGTCAGACGCTACAAACAATAGGGGCATCGCTACGAACGTAGCTCCTGGCCTTACTACTAGGAACAATAAAGCTACTATTTGCTTCTGCAGCTTCGCAGTGTTTTGCAATAAGATCTGTTCTCCTGGCACTGGAATGTGTGCTGTTGCCTACACACCTTTCTCCTGACTTGATTTGCATACTAAAGCACACCTTTCCACGCCTTCTCCAAGCTCGCCGTCATGTCCGGAGGCTGGCAAACAGGGTGGAGCGCAGTGGCTTGTGGTGTGAAAAACCAAGTATACCAAAACATACCAGAACAAAGTAACATAGTGGGCAAAATAGATGAGGGTTGGAGTTTTCACCACGGAACTTTCCATCTTGGAAATGTTTCCAGTCCCAACTCAAAAGAGTTCCAACTGTTTGACTCTCTCAAGGTCCATCCAAAAAGGAAGCCATGTTCAGGAGATTAGATCCCAGGCGGCAGCAAACGGTTCCTGTTAGCGGAGGATCTGATGCATGGCATCAGCTAGTGAGAACAAACAAGTCTTCAAGCCAAGCTGTTGTGGACCCCACCTTTGCAAGCACGAGAGTCTTTGCTATAAAATGCTTAATTGGTGTCACAGCTGCTCTCATCGGCTTCAATCTTCTCTGCAACCTCGTCGAACCTTGCAGTCTGGTTTTCCCCGTGTTCAACCGATCCATTTGTGAAGCCTATCCACCTAATTCAATGGGCAATTGGGTGAGTCTACCGCTACCTAGTACGAGTAATACCGGGTGTTCCACCACATGCGGCCCCGGCCGCCCAGCCAGCACCATGCCTCTGATTGGCTGCGGCACACGGCCGCCTTTGCCTGGCGCCATGGGGGGTAGAGGACGCTACGCACGTAACAAAGGGCACGAGGGATCCATGGCACATGAGGAATCAATGGCACCACGTGCAGAAAAGGCACATGGCAAAATCTTCGACTGGAAGGCACTGAGGGATTGGTAGCTCAATGACTCCATGGGATTGTCATACATCACTGGTAGCTCGAACGAAGGTTAACTCAATGCCTGATTCAACATCCAAAAAATGCTTTTGAGAAACTCATCTCACAGTAGTCACAGTACCCCAAAGCTGTTGATGCATCTCGCCTGAGTCTCTCTGTTCTTCGGGTCATCATCTGTCTGCGCAGCTTCTGGAGCCTGTGCATGGGCAAGAGCTCAGTTCATCGTCCCGCTGAATGAATGACTAAAAACTGTTTTTACGCTCGCTTCACACAAAGCTCTGGTTGAACATCCTCGAAATATTCTCGAATCTGACATCTACCGTGCTAAACAAGCAAGAACAAGAATCCATTCTAGAACCTCTCTCTCTCGCTCTCTCCCCCTCCCAACTGCTCAAGTGACTGACTGTATGAAACTGCATCTTGGGCACGCAAAGCCACAATGTGCTTTTGAATGTAGTGGCATCTCATTTCATCATCTATCTAGAGTACATGGATATGTGCTGACCTTCGCCTTGGGCGCGGCCTCAATCTGCACCTCCACCGCTTCGCATTGGTTTCACGGTCATCGCTCCAGTGGGTGGGTTCGGCTCGGGTTTGACAACCTCGCCCCCTTTCACCGGAGGAAGTCCAAATCAACTGGGGCCAAACCTTTGACCAGTCTTGCCCAACCAAACCACACTTGTTCTTGCGGCTTCGGGGGGCTAATCATCTTCATGGCCATGCTCACTGTCTGTGCCTTCCGGACAGGGCGCTCTGGTGGTGAAAAGGCGGGTGCCTGGTGCGAAATCGCCGCTTGCTGAAACTGAAAGGTTTCGGGATGGTGTTGAGCTCAAACGCCAATCTCAAAAGTGGACAAAAAGGGATCCGGCAGCTCGTGATCTTGACACGCTCTGGCCACTCCTCTTGGGCTGTGGGTGCCGATGGCACTGCTAGTGCTGCGGCTGCTGGCGCAGCAGCCAGCTCCGGCACAGCCGCAGCTCCTTCACAAGCCAGCTGGTATTCCAATGCCATCAGCAAGTGGTCCAACCATTCCTAGCACAGCACTACTCTGGTTTCTCGTCACCCAACCAATCACCCAACTGGAGATCTGAACATGGCACCATCGGAGCCTCGGACGGCTCGCCGCCGACGGCTCGCGCGACGCGCCTGGAGCGTCGCGCAGAAGCTCCGAGGCGGCCTCGACCTCGGCGATCGAAGCGACCGGTCAGGTCGTGACCGAAGCACGTGGAACGAAGAACACATGACCAAAGGCGAGTAGGGAATCTGATCACGCAAATCCCGTGTGCATCTTGCACTTTCCTGCAGACCCTCCCTCGTGGGCCCAAGAGACAAGAGACCCTTTCATCCCTAAGAGGCCGGGCGATATTCTGGAGCCTTGCGCAGCGAGGTTTTCTGCTGGCCCACGTGTCGGAAATGAACTATTTTAAATATAAAACATAGAAAACAAATATAGAGAGAGGGATATAATTTAATATATATATATAGAATGATATAGATATACTGTTCGGAATGAGAATGTCTTAATGTCTGGTATCCGTTTTGTTTTCGACCAGGCTCAGAAACTTCTGGCATGATTCTTTACAGGAAATGTCTATAAAGCAGGTACGGGGAAGGCTCTATCTGTGGAACTCTCCCACTACCTGCAGCGACAGCCAAAAGTATCGAATTAGCGGACCAAGCCGCTCAAAAGTTGCAGTCAGCTGCAATGTCTTTACATAAGGCTCTTGTGGCTTCTTCAAATCGCCAAACTCTGCAGGCGGCTGTATCCTTCTGTTCGGAGTAGCTGCTACCTGCGGCACGGCCATGCCAACTCATCTCCAATATCCGTGGCCCCAGTGGCGGCCCCCGCCCCGTCGGCCCCAGCGGCGGCCCCCGCCCCGTCGGCCCCAGCGGCGGCCCCAGCGGCGGCCCCCGCCCCGTCGGCCCCAGCGACGGCCCCCGCCCCAGCCCCTACCACCACGTCGCCAGGCAACGAAGGATCTTGCATCCTCAGGCGCAGATGCAATATCAATCTCTTGTGGCTCGATGTCATCCCAGTCACCCTCCCATGGCTGAGGGGGGCCTTCCATAGCATAGGCATAAGGAACCGCCTCCCAGGGAGCTTGGCCTCTCATCTCATCAATGTCACCCCAACCCCACTCCCATGGCGCGGGGCCACCCCTCATGCCACTCACGTCAATCCATTCCCACTCGCCGTCTACTGGCTCTGCATCTGCCGGTCCAACTGGAACACGAGCACTCGGTGCGTCAGCTGTCTCTGATGCTTGGCTCTCCTTTGCTGGAACTCCAACAGCAGCTGGGGCAGGCGGATCCACCG